CTCCTTTGCTACGTGTTGGGTTTGGTGTTCCGTTTCCTTTGGCGGCTCCTGATGGACGACAGGAGCAGGTGGAGGAGGAGCTTCCTTTTCTATTGGGACAGGCTCCGGTTCCGGAGCAACAGGTGTCTGAGGTTTCGGCGCGGGTGGTTGCTGCGGCTGCTGTGCCTGCCAGCTGTCAACTTGATGCTAACAAAACTAATAAGACTAAATAAACGTACCACTCCGTTCGTAGCAGTATTTGTGGGTTCAGATTTCTCAATAGGTTCCGGTGGTTGAACTTTGAAAATATATACTCACAAATCTAAGCTACTTACCATGTTCCGGTTCCACATTATGACCTTCTGGGATAAACACTCGATCCTGGTAGTGAAAAATGTCGTTCAATACGTAGAAGTTGCGCGTATTCTTCTCACAGAGCGTGAAACTACGCATAAATCGCCTGGGAGGTGCACCGGCTATGCTTACTTCGCCACAAACCTAGTAATTCTGACAAAAACTGAGTCAGCATACCTGTACAAGGATGCTATTTAGTACCGACCTAAGGGCATCAACCTTATGAATCAGCACATGAGTATCGGTCAAAGGCATATCCTTGAATGCGTTGAAGATATTTTCTTGACCAAAAATGGGAGCATCTTCGTGTATGACAGAGGAATCATGGGAATAGAACCGGTGGAGATGTTGAGGACATTTGTTCATGACCGTGTAATATTGCATGACGAACTCGTCAGCTACGTTAGAAATAGCCTCAAAATCCATCGTTGGCACGGTAAAATTAGCCATAGCAATGTCTCCGTTCATCGTTATTCGAAGTTTTACTGACGACACAAAGAATGCCTTCCGGCGGCAACGGACCAATCAGGAAAACTGTGCACCCAACTGTACGTAATGGAAGCAGACGAACTGACCATGCCGCTATCAGCGCCTAATAAAAGCGAAAAATCAGTCTATAAAAAATTCACAGATTCAGCCAAGGTATACAATTTAGTTGGGAATCCACATACGCCAGTATATATTTATAGCTTTCCATGATGCATGAAGCCAACATAAAACACACACCAAACAGTGGAGTGGAAAAAAACATTTGGAATAATGTAAAGAAGAGGCAGTAGGCAAATCGGCGAGCGGTAGCCGGAA